CTCGCGATCTGATGTGGGCCCTACATGTCAAATACCAGCAAGAAGCGGAACTCGCCGAGCTGATCGGCAGCCTGGGTGGAACTTGGCCCTTCGAGCAAACCGAAGAGGAGAAGCGCATGCGCAGCGAGATCCTCGATGCACTGGAGAGGAATGACCCAACTTCCTTCAGCTACACTCGCGGACCGGGTAGCGGTTTGCGCGTACCCAAGCACACTAACATTGCTGGCGATGCCGTGCAGGGCGGCGACATGTCCGGCCTGACACCTCCCAGCCTGAGTCCTTCGTTCCACAGCGGTACTAGCAGTGCCAACGGCGCTGGTCAGCCGCAGTACTGGAACAGTGCTGGCCATGCTGCTATGAGCTTCAAGGAGGAGGACGAGTACGGCATGGAGATGGGCTAGATGGCTCGTTTCTGCCTTTCTTATTGGGTCATTCGAGTTGACCTTTGCATACACGGCGTATCAATACGGGGACCGATCAGTTGGCGTACTAGGAGTGAAAGAGAACGGGCTCATGATTTTTTTTCTTCCTCGATTTTTCTTGCGTTGTCATTACTTCATGCATCCATGTCAGTACGAGTAGTTCTCTTCTTTTCTCATCTTGATTTTGTGATTTTTCTCCGGTGCTTGCGTGCTTATTTCGGTCTCACCTGGCTTTATTTTTATTCCATATCGATACCCTGTTTATTTCCTTGATCTTCCTTTCTCATTGACTGGAGCTATTCCATTGTCCACATCTTCGGGTGGTGAGCATGGTTTTGATCACTTCTGTGCATGTCGTTTTTATCTATTTGTGTCCAGAATCTATACTTGACCTTTGAAATTGATTTCCCCCTCTATTCTCTGAGTCTGTGTGCTTTGGCATTTGTTGCGCAATGTGATTGCATCTTCCCTAATATCCCATCTGTTTCTCCCGATACCGAGTATCTATCAATCAATCTATGATGTCTGTAATCTCACAGCATATGGTATTCGATGCGCAGATAGATAGTAGCTGCTGTAGAAAGACAACGCTAGTTAAGCCTAAGGGATAATAGAGAACAATTCTCCAATTCAATCTACTGCATCCTCACACCATAGCGGTAGTATATCTCTCTACTCCTGGATTGCGGCTGCCGCGATTACCTAGGTCATCTATACGGCGCCCGTGGCAATATCCTCGATAACGGTATTGACGAGGGTCTGTGTCACGCACGTCGCAGCTCGGCGCGCTAGGCCTTAGCGCGCTGCTGGACTTCTACCTATGAACTCCAGTGTCTGTTTTGTAGGAATGGGCTATTCGGGGGCTATTCCTTTCTAGGCGATTGTATCACAAAGGTGACATATACCAGCTACTTTAGATAGTCTAGGGCGTATAGATTGGCCCCCGCTTCCAACAGAGCCTCTAAGTTAGGTCTGGACCCGGCTCCCGAGACGGGCGACCTTGCCGGGATCCGGATGCGGTTGGGATATAAGGATAGAAAGTAACTATATAGTAGATCCATTTGAACCGTACAATGGTCTTGAACGTTTAGCTCGCTTATGCCGAGAACCATATTATCATGGCAACTCCAAGTTCGACCACAGCGGCCAGACTCGTCCAGCTAGTCCCCCAAAGTTCCTGCGTTTTCTGCCTTATTTCCGGGTGTGGCCTGTGGCCTCACAGTACAGCTCTGGGCACAGCCTTGCGGCGAAGTTCATCGAGAAGCCAGCTTCTGCAGCGTGATATATTCCCTGCTCCCAACTTATAACCAGCAAAGCGATTAAATGAGTTAGGCATATCAGGATGCATGTTGGACGTTGCATACTGAGTGGAGTCTCCACTTCTCGTCGTGGCGCTTTTTGTGGGTTCACCCCAATCAGAAGGGATGCCTAATCTAGATAGTAGGGCTTGCCGTCTTTAACGGGCAGGGCAAGCTTACACCCAAGGCTGCGCCCGCTATTCGACCATGGAACCTACAGCCACGATTTTTTGATTGCGCACCACCTATCGTGGCAAATCCACCATCGATGCCAAGTCCACGGAGTATTGGTACGAGATACGTAGTAGAAGGATCAGCAATAGCCCAGACGGGCCAGAGATAGAGTGGATGTGTGCCCTTCCACTGGACTAGTTTTGCGTTCTGCCTCGAACGATAGAACAACTAGCGAGCAGATTCTATGTTGTATGAATCTAGTGCTGATAACAGACAATGCGCAGATATGTAGTTCTCCAGGAATAGCAGCATCAATATGGTATTATCGGGGATGCGGGTGACGACACTCCCGACCCTGACCCGACCCTGAGCGCAGAATTCCATTGGACTCCGTGTAATATGAGATTCAGCACATAAATACTAACTTGAAGGTCTTTGCACCTTCTCGAATAATGCCTCGGGCTGTTTTTCGCCTAGGGCTTGTTCCGTTTTGGTGTGGTGATTGCTCTACTGTCGATCGAATCGATCGAACCGATCAGGGTCCCCGGGGTCCTTTCGGGATTTTGGGTTATCCTTGGTTGCCAAGGCATGGTTGATCAATTTGTCGGGTCGATTGCGAATACGTAGTACGGATTAGGTGTTTGATGTGCGCTTCGGTTATGGCTGATCTGTGTGATAGGTTGTAATCTAATGTGTATGAGGAAGCTATAGTGGAGATACGCCTATCTATAAGTGGGGGAGGTACTCGGTTGGATGAGAATGAACGAATCACTTGGGATCGTGGCAAAGATTTGGAGCTTACGACGGCTCTGTGACGTAGCCAATGCGGGGAAGGGAAAAGAATGCTCAGAAGAAGTGGAAAAATTAAGAGCAGAATTTATATATTTCTATTCAATCGACATCCAATAAACAAGTTTCGTGAGATGGATATTGTAATAAACAAGAAATGTCGAGCCTCTAGTTCTTCGCAGTCGAATCGTAAAATCGTACCTAAGTAGATAATGGTAGATAAAATATGGTAAATGTCCAGAAATGGGAGCACTATGGCACAGTGTTGGTGGGTATTGACAAAAAAAACCCCAAAGATGATGAGAATGGTAGAAAAGAGAATGAATCCGTAGGGGGGATAGGGATATGACTAGAATTGAGGAAAATGGCGATCGAGATCAGGTCGAGATTGCATGGGGTTCAGTCGAAGAGTAAGGCTGGTTCGGAGCATGCCCATTGATCAGCTTCCGCTCATGCTCATTCGAGAACGCATGACCACTAGACCCGGAACCATCCTCGGGGAGACCAGCAGCATCTCGGCAGGACGATACACCGCGAGATTCAGCCGCAACGGGGGAAAACGAGCGCTTCTCGCGCCAGTTGACACCCTCCGACTTGAGCTGCTTGCGCGCCTTGCCGCCACGGCAGCAAGCCGCGCAGCAAGAGCCAAGCTGAAGGATGAAAGCAAACAGACTGAATCCCGAAGCGATCCACATAAAGACCAGCATCTGGGTACCGACATGCGCCCGGATGTTGATGCTCGGATCGGCGGTTGCGAAGACATTGGCGAAGATCTCGAACATGACGGTCGCGACGGCTGACCCGACGATTGTCACCAGCGCGGTGAAAAATGTCAGAATCAGCATGGGCAGAGCACGGAACCAGATGAAGGTCCATCGGCGGTGGGGTGGTTTGCCCGCGGGCGGGTGGCCGTTGTTGTATTCTGCGGCCCAGGCTTTGATGCTCCGTGGGTGTCGGGAGGACACGGCAAGCGGGGCGAGGAAGATCATGACGAAGTTGAGGACTGCTGCGGATAGGAGGATTCCGAACATCCAGTGGGAGGCGGTGCGGGCTAGTTTTAATGGGCTTTCGATGTCGGATGGGAGAGCGACTGGGTGTAGCTGTTAGTCTTCGCATTCCAGGGGAGTCCTTGAGTGCGGGGATATTGTAGAACGTACCCGTCGCACCGGCCAGCAGCTCGTTCAGGATAATCTCAACCGGGTTGAAAGCATAGAGAGTCTCCGGCTTGGAGCAATGGGTGATGCCCTGGTCATCGTATCCTTCGCAGAAGTTCCATAGGCCGACCTGGTAGAAGTCATGCAGCCCGATAGTCTGGGCGATAGAGTTGATAAGGACGGCATTGGGAATAGAGACGGGAATAATATTGGAAAGATCGAGGTAGAGGAAGTAGGTATTGCGTAGGACGGGCCTATTAGAGATGTTGCCAATGACTACCAGTAGCATAAAGATCCAAGCGATCAAGTACAACAGCGACCGTAACAGGCGATGCCAACGAACGGTGGACTTTCGCTGGCGGTCAATTGGGGTAGTGGACTTAAAGAAAGGAAGCTTTCGCTTGCCATTTTCCGTCCAATGCATGATAGAAATGTGATAAATGAGTGAAAAGGAGAGAAAGTCCCAAAATCCCCAGGAGATGAGGAAAATTAGGGTTGCCTAAGGTCTCCGGGGATGACGTTAGGCCATGAAATATCTCCCGATCGCCTCCAGGCAAATGAGATCGGATTGTTTCATTGTTTTTAGCTTTTAAAGGGATTTCTTGGGTTTCCCAGGGTTCCCAGGGTGTCCTGGGCCTATTCGGTCTATTAGTTTCAAAATTTAAGAAATTTCAACGGATCGTCGCGTCTGCCACGAGATCGTCGGTGGCTGGACACTAGCGGTGTTGGCCCCTGGCCTACGCTGTCGATCATTCGGACTATATTAGTTCATCAAGGTATGGATAGAGGTATGGAGATAGCTGAAAAGCAAGGAAAGGGCAATATCACAGCCAATAAGCAGATTTAGTAGAATAATATAGAGCAATATACAATAACATACGGTATTAATAGTGCAGCCTCCCGGGCTATATGTGAGACAAAAGTATAAGAAGGACTAAATTTATAACAGGCAGCAATCGGCACGAGACCCAGGCTAAAGATCATCCACTTCGCCCCCCTAAAGTGATAGAAAAATATAAAAATACAATTGGCCCATCATTCTCCTTTATTGATGGTCAACGTCATATCGTCAAAGACTCCACGTGCCGATTAGGTAAGTTGGAGTATTTCCCCGTCATTTTCTCCTCCTATCTTGGAGACGTAGAGTCTTCATATCACATAGGATGAGGTGGCCTACTATTGTTCTCGGCTTCCTCGCCGTTGCCGCGGCCCAGGCCGAATCTACAGAATCGACCGAATCTACCGAATCCACCAAATCTACCAAATCATCCACGGAATCCGGGAAGACCACCGATGAACCCACCATTGTGTCAGTCACGACTCCCATCGCCATTCCCTCCGGTACCTACCAAGACCTCACTACAACAATCACACTGGGTGATGGCGACAAGTCGGTCATTGCATCGACCACTCAACACAATGGCACCATGACTGCCTCCAACCAGACGCAGGCAATCACTATGACTTCCGACTCCTTGACTTTGCTAGTGGGCGGCGGAGGCGGAGGAACGACGGTGATCGGGAACAATAGCATGAACGCAACTGCGACTACGACCAGTACATCTACCCAAGCGCCTGTCGTTAACACCCGACCTTGCAACGACTACCCCGAGTTCTGTGCCAGGAAGTACTCCAACATTACCATGGTCGCAGCACACAACAGCCCGTTCGTGCGCAAGAACAGCGTCGCCGCCAACCAGGTACTGGATGTGACAACACAATTGAATGATGGAATTCGGCTGCGTAAGTGAAGCAGCGGTGCATTGCCTTTTGAGAAGTAAGCGATTATTAACCTGTGGATTAGTGCAATTCCAAACGCACTACGAGAACGGCACAATGTACTTGTGCCACACGACCTGCCAATTGCTCAATGTCGGCACACTTGAAGCATACTTAGTCGAGGTCAACACGTGGATGCGGAAGAACCCATACGACGTGGTGACCTTCATCATCGGCAATTACGACTATGTCTCGCCCGCTAATTTCACCACCCCAATCTATAACTCCGGACTGAAGGACCTCATATACACCCCCACCAAGGTCCCAATGGGCCTGGGCGACTGGCCCACACTCTCGGAGATGATCCTCAGGCAGAAGCGTGCAGTCTTCTTCATGGACTACCAAGCCAACCAGACCGCGTACCCATGGCTGATGGATGAGTTCTCGCAGGTGTGGGAGACGCCTTTTTCGCCTACTGACCCCACCTTCCCCTGCACGCAGCAACGCCCACCCGGTCTGTCTGTGGCAGCCGCTAAGAACCGCATGTACATGGCCAACCACAATTTGAACCTGCAGCTGAACCTCGGCTCTCTGAGCTTGTTGATTCCCAATACTGCTTCGATTGACGAGACCAATGCTGTGAACGGCAGTGGCAGTCTAGGCGCAATGGCCAGGGAATGTAACTGTAAGTTGACATGTGTTTGATTCTTAATGTGCGTTGCTAACTCTGAACAGCAACCTGGGGCAGTCCTCCCAACTTCCTTCTGGTCGATTATTATAATTACGGCAATTTCAACGGCTCGGTCTTCGAGGTCGCTGCCCAGATGAACAATGTCACTTACAACCGTAAATGCTGTGGCAAGACATCTGGCGCGCTGCGCGAGGTCTCTGTCGCTGGTATTTCGACGGTGCTTCTGGTGGCAGTGGGAGTGCAGGTGGTGATGTCTGCGTTCTGATTTCCACGATATCTATGACTACTTTGGGTGCATGACCGGATCGGTCGTCGGCGCTAGGTTTCTTTCTTTTTTTGGCCGCACATATATTGTACTGCATATGATTTTGATATAGTACATATTTGTACAATGTTGTAGTTATTCGATCTATACATAAACATCATGGTCAACAAGCAGACATGCGCAGTTCACTAGAACTGAACAAATCAAAATAGAATATTTCCAAACGAACAAAACCAAAACCAACATATAAACCATAGCAAAATAGCCAATCCAACCCTCCCCATCACAACCTACAACCTACATCCCCAGCTCCCTCCCCGACATCACATGACCACCCCCCACCGCACCGCAAACCAACTCCACCATCAACCCTCACCCAAACCACCCCCTCACCACCACAAACCCTCGCCTGCGCGCACAAAACCGCCAAAATGGTCGACATCGTCCCTCTCAGCAGCTACCCCTCCTACATCGACCTCCTCCCCTCAATCCAAACCTGCAACATAACGAACCTACCCGAGAACTACTTCCTAAAATACTACCTGTACCATGCCCTGACCTGGCCGCAGCTAAGCTTCGTCGCGGTCGTGCGTCCACGCGGGGGACACAAGCCTGGCCCCAAAGGCGTCGGCATGGCCGGCAATATCTCAGGCGAGTATCCCAAGGTCGTTGGATACGTGCTCGCGAAGATGGAGGAGGAGCCCACGGACGGGAATCAGCATGGTCATATTACCAGTCTGAGTGTTATGCGCACGCATAGACGGTTGGGGATTGCGGAGAGGTTGATGCGGATGAGTCGTGAGTGATATTCTTGATTTTGCATTTTCATTTGTATTTGCATTTGTATTTGAAACGACCTGCAAACACTGCATATTCGCATATCATTACAGTCCGGTTTTCTAATTCCATTCTTTCTTGCAGAACGCGCAATGGCTGAATCTCACCGCGCGCATTTCGTCTCGCTGCACGTGCGCATGTCGAACATTGCTGCGCTGCGACTGTACCGCGATACGCTTGGCTTCGAGGTCGAGAAGGTCGAGGACGGGTACTATGCCGACGGCGAGGATGCGTATGCTATGCGCTTGAATCTTCAGAACTTGTGGCTTGATTGGAAGGCGATTGAAAAGCGGGATGCGGAGAATAATAAGGAAAAGAATGGGGAGGAAGGGAACGAGGATGAGGGCGAGGAGGTTGGGGAGCTTGGGAAGAAGGATGCAGAGAAGATGATTCGGGTTAAGGTTGGGAGGGGACTTGGGGTTGGTGATTTAGTTGAGAAGAATGAGTCGAAGGCTTAGAGGATATGTGACGATAGATTCAAATGGGCATAAGTTATTGCTCTTTGTATGTATAAGAGATCTTTTTGAAAAAGTTTGATTTCAATATCAAGTTTTCGTAAATGTACTGTATCAATGTGAATCGTGACTTCGTCGACTTCGATGTGGTTGAGATTTGAACTATGCAAGCAGAGCAAATTCATTTTTGCCGTCCTCCCAAGAAAATATTGGACGCCACGCTGAAAATAGAACCAAATAAAATAAAACCAAAAAAAGAGAAGACGTATCCAAATCATTTACTTCCCGTATCCCCGTCCTTCGGCTGTTGCTTTCTCGCCTTGCGCGGTAATAGCATATCCTTTAACCGACTGGATGTATCACCTGGCTTCCCTTTCTTCACCAAGGCGCCAGAGTCTCCAGTAGGTGCCGACTCCTGCGTACTTAGCCGCGAGATAGCAGGGGAGAGGGAATTGGAAGCAAATCCAAATCCGACATTAGAGCTATTCGGTGTAGAAACCGGACTAGTCTGTGCTTGTGTGTTGACTGGACGTGGAGGCATAGGCGGGTTAGATTGCCGCGAGTCTTCCAGCCGCAACGTCCCAAGCTGTTGATCTAGCGGCTGGGAAGGCATATGATTCGCCGTATCGTTGTCATTAGCGCGAGTTTGTCGGACCTGGCGGCGTCGAGTACGTTTGCGTTCACGCTGCTCGTCTCGTGCTCGGCGCAGCGTGTCCCGGAATGCTTTTTTGGTGGCACGCATTTCTTCTTTCATGGCGCGTCTATCGGCCGAGTTGCGTTGCTGCTGCTCAGGTGAGTCCCAGCGACCCCAGTCGTCACCGGATTGATGGTTGTTTTGTTGGCTCTGGCTGAAACCTGCTCGCCAGTTATTACCGGAGAACTTGGCTTCTCGGCGGGACTCTTGCAGGACCGATAGTTGCCGGCGGAGGTCCACGGCGGCGTCATATAATACCCGATCATGACGATCATCTAGAAGTTCCAATTGAGTGCGCACTGTGGCAAGGTCTGAAGCGCCCAGGTCCGATGTTGTCGAGATGGAGTCAATTGAGCTGAACGAGGACTCAGATGACACGGAGCTCACCGATACTCGTCTGGTATGTTCGGTCGTGGGTGGCTCTACCCTAAGCTGTTCTGTAGAGGGCTTAGGCTTATTGCTATCAATCTGATTGATTGTTTCAGGCCGACCCGTCGGATTAGGACTTGTCACAGGGCTAGGGCTTTGAATGGGTGTCAACGGAATGTTGGTTACGGGACGTGGCGAGTTATCCCAGGCCGGCCGAGGATAGTACCCACCACCGTATGGAGGTCCAGCCATTATTGCTTTCCGACTATGAAGCCTTGCCTGTTCTTCAAGCCAGCGGCCATGTGCAATAGCCTGCTCCTCGACCTGCCGCCCATATTGTAGGGCCTGTTCGCTGAATCGCTCTCCATATTTCTGCGCTTGTGATGCGATCTGTGAAATCCACCCACCGGACCCAGCCTTGGGGGTGCCATTATTGGGATACTGCGGTTGCTGCTGCGTATAGTTCCAATTGTTCCATTGCCATGCGCCTTGTGGTGGGTGGGTATAGTATTGAGGTGGTTGGTTAGGAGATATGGGGGGAGGGTATGGAGGAACACCATATACTCCATATGGAGATGGGGGCACATATACTTGGGGGTTGTGGAACATAGAGGGAGGCATCGACCAAGGAGTCGGAGACGGAACGTGCTGCCCGTGCTGCCCAGGCACGGGCGACGGAGCATTTGAATTTCGAGTCGGCTGGCCATCTATTGAACCTGTTGCCGCTGGATAGCATCGGGGACATAAAGCGGACGATGGTGCAGAATCAGGTTCGCCTACGTAGACAAAGACAATCTGGGTAGCGCGGAGCTCGAAAAAGCATTCATTCCATTCGGCGACAACGGCAGCGATTCGAGCTTTCCGTTGTTCATCAGTCTCCTGTGGGCGATCTTTGCGGTCTCGTCTAATCTCCGCTCGCAATTGGCGTGGGAGATGCTGAGAGGACGCAGCGAGCCCCAATTGCGGCGGAAATAGATACTTTAAGAATGTATCCCAGTCCTGCTGGGTAACCTCATCTAATCGAGAGGCCCAGCACCGCGGCCGTCGTGGGAAATCCTTAGCCTGGCTCCGGGGGTAGATGGTCATATGATGTTGCAGAAGATCCCGGCTCTCGTCTAGGACCGAGGGAAGCCGTTCCTCAAAGTACGCAGCGGCGGATCTGAAATGCGTCGGCACGACCGTCGGCTGTATTGGGACACGAGAGCTACTGGCATCCTGCGTTGGGGAGACAATCACACTAGGAACTATTGGGGCCTGAGAAGAGCTGTTGTTCCGGCTGCTCGCAGGTGCGAGTAATGGGTCGACGGCCGAGTACGGGGGTGGTGGAGCCTCCTCTTGGTCCATTTTGAGAAGGCGGTTATGGTCGGCCGGGGAATATCCAAGGGTAGCAAGAATGTAGTGGCCTAGGAAGGGCTACAGTGAATTCCCATTCTGTGATAAGATAACGAGGACCTGAGAGGCGGTGGAAGGCAGCAAGAATACTGTAAATGGGGTTCTGTCAGCGTACAAGAATTATATTTGAGAGACGTTATGTCCTACCTGGATGTCGGAGAATGACTCACAACGACAAAGGGTATACTGAGACCCTGATGAAGGGGGACATACGAGAGAAAGGCTGATCTTGGGAGTGAAGAAGTCCGTGACATTCCACCTGGGCAAGGTTAGGAGATTGGCGGGGACGATAACGATAAGGCCTATCGATTGCCAACAGCCTTCAGCGTGGACATATGCAAACCTCCTGTCGGAATACATATGCTTCCAAGATTGAAAGAACTTATATTAAGAGGACTATTAACACAACTATATTCACACCGAAAGAGCAGGGTGTTGGTGGTCCTGGTTGAGGCTGAGGAACTATACAATTTACTTAAGACATGCTCATCGGCCATACATGGCTGAAATTCTGCTTCGTTTGAAAATGCAGCTTCAAGTCCACTGCTAGTGACAGTAGATTTATTCTTGGATCAAATGTACGTAGTGCCCTCGGGCGTACCCGCGTAAACTATGTCTCATGTGGGATTGCTCGTAAGTGAGAGTATATTCTGGGTGTGATACTCGGACCCTTCATGACTTTCATCCTCTCCTCCCTTCACTTCTCTTCTGTTCGACTCAATTTCTTTTAATCAACCTACAGACAGATACGACTGTCAGCATTTCAGCATTTGAAAGATTTTCTCGGTCTACAGAGCTACTCAGTCGTCTCAATTGTGGGGAATCTGTTATCCTCTGATTCTCGGCTATCGACTGAAAGACAGCGAGAGGTGTGCAGACCACCAACACACGCCCCCGTGGTGTAGTCAGATATTTTATTCAATTTATCAATACAGTAAGCCTTCAGTCTTCATTGTGAGAATTTCGAAAAAAAAATATGAGCTAACATGGTGGGTTTGTGTATAGTTCCAGACGGGGTCTCCTCTCACTTTACAACAACGGGGCACCCGGTCGACAAAGATCTTTACAACCATACGCCCAGATGTCGACGGAGCACACTCGCGATTGGTCGACTCTACTTCCGGCTGAGAAACAGACTGGACCAACCGACCAGGCATTTGAGCTGCCAGAAATCGCTTGCTTTACGCTGTACCAATTTCCCTGTCCTCTGAAACATCCTTCCGACTACCTCACCTGGCGCAATGACATCTACCACATTCTGAAAGTGCACAGACTTCATCGGCTCATTGATTCTGGCATCGTCCGCCCTTACAGGGACTCGCCCAATGCTAGGAGATGGCAACAGATGTCGATCGAAGTCCGCAACTGGCTAGCGTGGAACATGAATCCGATCCTTGTATGCATGATTGTGAAAGAACAGCCCCGAGCTGAACTGGCAGACGAGTTCATGATGGGGGCCGAGAAGATTCTTGGGCCTTATACCCGCAGTCCCACACAGGACTATGAGGATATCTCAAGCGGTCTGTTCAATCTCATTCGGTGCCAGCGACGTGATTACTCTAGTGCCCGGTGGTTTGTTCACCGTCTGATGGAGTATTACACCCACACCTTGAATATGAAGATGGGAATTCCGCCATTTGTCCCGCTGCTGGTCTTGCTGGCGGAAGTTGAGAGTGATGTGGGAACAGCCTTTGTCAATCTGAGATATGAGCGGTTGAAGAACATGCACAACCTCGCCCAGGATGTTACCAAAGCGTACCTTGAAGAAGTGTACCTCGATGTGTTGGATTACCTGGAGTGTATGGACCCGATGCCTATTGAATGATGTGATGAACGATGGAAGCCCGACAGTGCACAAGAACAAGAGCATGGAAAACACATGGCTACCTTTTATTGTGGGGCGCCCATTCGTCCTGCAAAGAAGTGCTTGATTCCGCCGTGAAAATGACATGAAGTGTGTTCGAAGACGTTGAGAAGGGAACAATGAACATGATATGGAGGCTGTGTTCCAAAGGCTATTTCAAACAGGGGTCCGAGATGAGACACATGCTATCAAATCCTTGTATTTTACCAATGAAATCGCAAGCTATCAAACTCCTGAGTGGAATGAATTATGCGCATTGAAAGATCAAGAAGATAAAAATAAACGTGAGATTCTATGCGAGAGGAGAGTGGCCCCACTAGGCACCAAACAATGATTCAGCGCCTGGAGATTGGCTATTCTGAAGAGCGTTGATTGGTCAATGAACAATAGAAGTGGAGCACTGAATCATCGCTCAGCCATCACATTGTCCATACTCGTTGCATTGCCCGATGCTTGTCAATTTATGAATCCCTTTTATAAGCATAATGGCATTTATGACTCAATATAAGGCAGCAATGAAGTATATCTCGGTGGATATATCGGATAAAACTGGCGGGCTGATAATAGCCTGATCTATTGTCTTGGGGCTTTTGCTTTTATACCTGATCGGTTCTTCCCTTTTTCCACTATACTGCTCTATACTCTCACATGCTAAGCACGTCCTCTCTTGTATATATTTCCACAAATACTTGTGACCCATGATGCATACTCTTCAAAAAGAGTCCAGTTCAAACCAACCAACCCTCAACGAAGGAGACAGCGTCAGAAACCTAACACATGACCTCGAAAAACAGCCAACGAGGCAAACCACCGACACATCAGCACCAACCACAGAACTATTCCCGGAAACAGACCTCAGCTGCGGAATAGTAGGCTGGGATGGACAAGATGACCTTAATAACCCCCAAAACTTCCCGGCCAACAAAAAATGGACCTTGCTCGCCCTGATCAGTGCCATGACTCTGATCTCTCCGCTCGCCTCGAGCATGTTCTCACCCGCCATCTCGTACGTGGCAGCGGAGTTCGGAGAAACGAATGAGACAATCTTGTCTTTTAGTGTCAGCATCTATATCCTCGGATATGCAGTGAGCCCACCCCACCCTATGATTTATGCAATCCAACGCATCTAACATGCCGGATCTAGTTCGGTCCCCTTTTACTCGCCCCTATGAGCGAAGTCTACGGCCGCCGCGTCGTCCTCAGTGCTGCAAATTGGTTCTTTGTAGTTTGGCAAATCGGCTGCGCACGAGCAAACAGCATCGAGGCCCTCATTGTCTGCCGCCTATTCGCCGGAATCGGAGGCTCGGGTTGTCTAACACTCGGTGCGGGTGTAATCGCAGATATGTTCCCCCGGGAGCAGCGCGGCATGGCAACGGCCGTCTGGGCAATGGGACCACTGATTGGACCTGTGGTCGGGCCTATCGCGGGTGGATTCCTCGGACAGGAAGCTGGCTGGCGCTGGGTATTTTGGCTATTGCTTATTGTGGGTGGTATCGTGGCGTTAGGGGTTGAGTTTCTGAACAAAGAGACATATGCGGAAGTTCTTATCCGGTGGAAGACCGAGAAACTCGTGAAGGAGACTGGCCGAATGGATTTGCGGAGTGCTTATGACACAAATAAGGAGCCTGTTACTTTGGGACAGACCATGGTGCAGAGTTTCAAGAGGCCGGTTTTGCTGTTTGTCAAGTCGCCAATTGTGTTCCTTCTGTGTCTTTATATGGTGAGTCCAAGTTCGGTCGTGATGCACGAAAGATCCTTTCCAAAATGCGACTTACTAACATTTCATCTCTAGTCCTTCGTTTACGGCCTTCTCTACCTCTTCTTCACTACCATCCCCAGCGTCTTCACTCAGAAATACGGGTTCTCCGTTGGCCTATCGGGACTTGCATATCTCGGCATCGGCTTCGGTTTTATCGGTGGTCTCGCAATTATCGCCTTCACAAACGACCGCATGGTCATGTCAGCTACAGCAAAGAATGGCGGCAAGTTCGAACCCGAGATGCGCCTCCCAATGATGATTATCTTCGCCTGCATCCTTCCAATCAGCTTCTTCTGGTACGGCTGGACAGCCGACAAGCACGTATTTTGGATTGTGCCTATCATTGGCATGTTCCCCTTCGGAGTCGGCACGATGGGCGTGTATATGCCCATCCAGACATATATCATTGATTGCTACCCCAAATATGCAGCGTCTGCCAATGCCACTTTGACGGCAACTCGCTCTCTGGTTGGAGCTCTGCTACCGCTTGCTGGGCCGAAGATGTTCGGTAATCTGGGTCTCGGGTGGGGGAACTCGTTGCTTGGGTTCCTGGCATTGGCATTCATCCCAGTCCCTATTGTCTTCATCAAGTATGGCAAGGTGATTCGGGAGAAGTGGCCTATTGACCTCGATGGTAAAGATTGAAAAGGATCAAGCTGCTGCTATCAAGGGCATACTATTCGCTCCACATCGGCCTTGTCTGTTCCCATGATCGGGATGATGTTTAACGACCCACATATAGAAGTTGCCTATATACAATCAATAGAATAGAGCATAATAGAACATGAATTTCTGTACATGAACATGGCCATTCCTTAGAAAAGTTCAATCACAATTTGATTGATATCCATCCCCTCCACAAGATCAGGATATCGTCTAATAAAGTCCGGCGTAAGCCCCCACCCACTTTCACTCATGAACATCTCATAAAACGCCTTTTTAATACACAACTCGTTCTGCTCATTCCGTTCAAGAATCGTCTCATTCCAAGGCCATCGAATCTTAACACAACAAGCCATGAACCCGAACAGATCATCCCGATCCTTGCTATACAGATGCCAACGCCGAATTAGATTCAGCCTTATCCTTGGCCACGGCAAAAAATCTAAAACGAGCGGATGTGGAACAGCCATTTGACCCTGCACAGGCCTAAGGAACACAGGGAGTCGACCATAAGTCTCTGGGCTGGGGGAAATGACCCATCTCGAGAAGTGGTAAGTCAGCCAGCCAGTACTCAGTCGCTCCGGATCACGGACTGGGCGGCGTTGCAGGGCCGTGTGGATCATGTCTGCTAGCGGGTTTGTTTTCGTGCCGTACAAAAAGTCAAGAGGGGAAATGGGGATATCTGGGCATGGGATTATCAGCTCTGGGTAGATGAACCACGGACAGGAGATCATGGTGCGTGTGCTGAAGTCATCAGTGTGTGGTGGGATTTGGTTCCACAGAGGCGTGGTTTCGGCGGAAAGAGGTTCTAGAGATGGGGATCGGATTTGCGGTGATGTTGATACAGCTGGCAGGGGGGCGTTTAGAAGGTTGCTAATCCCGTGCTGGGGTATCGATTCGTTCAAATCCGTTTGGAGGGAGAATCGGGCTTCTCGGTTGCTCAGCTCCTTATACAGAGATGACAAGTCATGGCTGGAATCAACGGTGGCAGCTGGCTCATCCAGTTCTGTCTCCCAGGAGTTGACGAGTGATTTCAAGCTCTTTTGGCGCTTGAGAAGAGCTTCGTTTTGCTTGCGGAGCCCTTCGATTACTTGAAGAAGGCGCTGCACGCCTTGGTCGCTGTGATGCTGCTCGCAGTGTGTCACCTGTTTTTCGAGTTGGGCTACATGTCGCAGCTTCTTTTCGCGGAGAGTCTGTTGCGAGCGACGATCTCGGAGGCGTTTCTTCTCATTGGAAGACATCGGGTTTGATGCTTTGATGTCGTGGAAAGACGGGATCGGCGGAGTGAGGGTGCCGCTGCATAATCCGCATAAGTGGATGTGCATAATTCTTATGCAGATATCTGATTTCCGAGAGAAAGTGGAGTGTACGAGGACAGCAAGAAATTGTACGAACCAACTAATATTGGCCTTTGCGTCTATATTATTAGTTCTATCTCCTTTCCACGGCATGCATATACTACATTTGTAGCGTGCTGGCGCATATTATTTTCTAGCAGGACGACTCATGAGGCCAGGGAGTATTGAATTTGAACTTTCATTGATCGAATCAATCGCTAGAAAAGCAGATACCAATCCTCACCGATCGATAAGTCAAGCAATGTTGGATCCCTGGTATTGCAGACATGCAGAAAATCCACCATAGCATAAGAGAGCTAGAAACATCAGAATATTTACCTCAGTCTTATTGAAATCCATCAAAAGTTGTGATCAGACGTTTAGTATCCGGCGTAGGCACGGTGGAAAGCAGCTCACTTGGTGCTCGTGCCACTGGCCACGCTGGCAGTCCTATGAAGATTCAATATCTATTAATACAACCTAGAAAGATAGCTTGTATCCTGCTTATCTTGCTGCAGTACGTCGCAACTTTGCATATCTTGCATTTCTGAGGTTCGTGACCGATATCCTCCTCAATCTTTCCACACTTGAAGCAGCTATCAGGGTCGTTATGTTAGCATGAAGTGTCTGAATTCACCGTCTTCCAAAGGGAATCCACCTAGGCTCCTGGAAGCTGCGTGCAATACCGGGCTGGTAGTGATCCAGGGCAGCAAGGAACTGAACTTTTCCTGGAGTTCTGAAGCCATGGTCCTCAAAAATTGTTTGGCGCGAGTCGCAGTTAATTTCGGGCACTAGGTCACGTAGATGCTGCAGATCCGCTTCGTTGATGCGAGCACCGGCTCGGATCACGACAGCACCTAGGATGATAGTGCGGTACTTGGCGTCTTGGGAGAGGTCACCCGTGTCTGCTTCCTTGGCGCGACTGGCAGCGAACAGTCGTTCTCCAAGGTTGTCAGTGTCGAGCTGCTGGCGGACGTACGGGACGATGACATTGGCTAGCAAATCGGCATATTCAGGGGTACTGTAGAGGGCAATTGACTTTGCTGGTGCCAGAATGTCGGTTTGATGAACCATTGCAGCTAGGTTCTGTTCCCAGTGGTCAATATTGACACCTAGGCTGTCGGTCAAGTCGATGACCACGTCAAGGTCCTGGTCGCTTTCGAACAGACCTAATATAGACGTTAGCTAAGAGCAAAGGGACGAGTAACAGTGATACTAACGCCATCCCCATCGACCCATGATGATGCTCGTCTAGTGCGTGTAATTGTAGAGCTGAACTTGAGACTGAGTGGCTTGAAGTCCAGGGACGGAATAGAGACAGAAGAGTTCTGTGACAGCAAGGTTCTGGGATAGTAAGAAAAATCCTGAGATAAGGTTGTGGATGAGAAACTAAGTGGAAAAAGAATAAACCCGCAAAGAAGAAAGAGGAGATTACGGAGTAAGACAATGGAGACAGGGTTCTTGCCACTCGCTTGCCTGACTTTAACAATGACCTCTTATTGCCCGTTTCATTCCCAATGGTCTTCTATAGATTCCCAGTTATACCCCTGGTTATACATACAAAACTTCTCTGTACTATTTATAATTTTCATTGCCTCGGTGGATATTTAGAAAGAGATCAAAAAACATAAAAAAAACCACGTCAATGTGTTCCATATAATAACCTTGACATCGTCCTGGGATCAAATAAATACATCCTAATTGATTCTGGGACGTTCAGACTAGCGATGGCATAATGCATAACTCATACTGCATGACTCGGCTCATTCTTAGTATTAAATATCAAGCCAGAGGGTTCAATCGCGAATAGGGTTAATTATCAAAGTGAGGCTGTTCCACGCAGAAAATTCGGCTTAGAATCCGCAGATGTCGACCTTGGGATGCGACAGAGAATCCGCCAAAGGGCATAACTATCAAGTTTCATACAATATAACTAGTCTCAGAGAGAAGATTAGAAACTTGTAATACCTGTTTCCAAGAAACTGATATTGGTGCACCAATTAATCCGCCATGGTAATGACGAGATTCCCCCCTTATTGTGAACTTCGTTAATTCACATTTCCTTCCTCCCATTGCAGTGGGCAAAGCCGGAATCCTAAAGTAGTGGCCTTATCTTTCAGGCAGAGAGAAAGCTTAGGGGTCTTCATGTCAATTAAAATCTCAGAGAGGAAGCTAGACCAGTGACCATACGGAATGGAAGAGGATTTTACAGGATGTTGTTGCATTGGGAGATAAGGATGTCTACTACGGTCTGTATGATCTCCGCTTGCTAGCTGACCTCCCTGGATGGTTGGTGTTGTTGTGTCGCTCTCGTCTTGTCCGCTAGGCCAGACTGCCCATCGTGCATATCCCTCTTCGCCATATAAAATTCGTTATAACGAGCGTTACTGTGATCGATGTTGAACAAAGTGGGTCGCGGAGAATAAGCTCGGCCGGAAGCCGGGCCAATATTAAAACACCCTACATCACATTGACCAGCACAGGGTTTCAATCCAATATGGCCAGCGATCAAAGATTCCAGCGGACTGTGCAAGCAGTTGCTGAAGCTGTTCAAATATTTGCTACTGGAACATTCAACTTTGCGGAGAGCATCAAACAGATATGGGGACCACAGACCCAGCCGGATACAGTGGAGACATCCGATCCCCTGCCCGTCGAGGGCATGCAGGATTTCCAAGTGGTTGATCAACTTCGAGAAAGAACCCCTGTTTCTCAGGACGGAGATCAATTTGCGATAAACTCCCAAAGTCATCCACCGTCCGTGACTATGGATGACGAGTCGCAAGTCTTACATGAAGCAATCGCGCCGCTAGAGACAGCAAGTATACAGCTCTCTAATGAGATGGATACGGTAGCTACGTCCACACAGCAACCGGTTGGTTCAAAGAGAGCCGGTCAGGGTATTCATGAGCAGCAACCTATGTCCAAGCGGCAGCGGATACGGGAATTGGAGCAAGTCCTAATGCCGGAATGGTGTGGACTGAAAAGGGTTATGCGACAGGAACAAGCTGACCACGGAGCGGCGGAATATGGCGGGTCCTCGGCGTCATCAGTATCTTCGTCGTCGGCATCTTCGTCATCGTCGGAAGAAGAAGAAAACGAAGAAAAAGTGGCGCAAATCGAAGTGCAACTGAATAGACACGAAATTTCGTCTATCAAAAATCAGGTGCCGGTTGCACATAAAATGACACACAAAGACGTGATACATCTGAAGGAAGAAAATGACGGATCATCATCTTCGACGCAAGAACAGTCCTCGGAAGAGTCATCATCGGAAGAGGAGGACGATGACTCCTCAGAAGAAGAAGAAGAAGAAGAAGAAGAAGAAGAAGAGGAAGAAGAAGAAGAAGCGGTGCCAAATGCAGCAAGAAAAGTGTCACAAGAAAGTCGCGATGTGGAAGCGAAACCAGCGATTCGACCAAAGGACGAGAACAGTGAACCATCCTCGTCTTCATCCGAACACGAATCCTCAGAAGAAGAATCAGATGACGACGAGCCAAGGGAACCAAAAGGGCAACCAGCAGCAGAAGAGCCGCCAATAAAAGAGGAGTCAGAGGACGAACCAGAAGAACCAAAGAAACAGCTGGCGACAAAAGTAGAGCCTCAAATGAGACGCGAACAAACCCCAGAAGAATCGAGTGGAATAACAAGTAATGAATCCTCCTCATCGTCATCAGAAGACGAATCCTGCGAATCCTCGGAAGAAGACTCGGAGACGGAGATGTAGCGGCAGACATCAACTGTTCCTTTTGTGTGTCGCTATCATGTTGTTCGTTATGTGATTTCGGAAGAAGAATACAAATATCCATGCCAGCAACAATAATGTAATAGGGAGATATTTTGAAGGTTTGCTGGCATTTATGTTGCTTGAATAGCTACACCTACAGGGCTATACTCTGCTCTGCCCTCTTCTGTCGCTCGTGCTACTCTAATCACAAAACATTGCTTCTAGGCCGAACGAATCGGCTTAATTACCTCTGTTGTACTTTGTAACCTTGGGTAGTAGTCGGTGGTAAAATGAGCAAATATAAATCGAATCCGTCCGTTGAAATCCCTACATATAAAAAACCGCAATAGCTCAGTGATACTTCAAACAGTCCATCGATCAAATACACGGATAATTATGCGGATAATTTACTGCAGGTCATCCTTCAGTGCAATGCACCTCTTCTTGATAGCAATTCCCCTTTGCCATGCACTGGTTGCAGAACCCTTCATCCCCAAAGTGGACGTCGCCATCATCGGCGGTGGCCTATCCGGACTCTCCACCGCCAAAGACCTGGCAGCGGCCAACAAATCCTTCGTCATATTAGAAGCACGAGACCGAGTCGGTGGTCGCGTACTCAATTTCAACCTCACGGGAAAGAACATCCAAGAACTAGGCGGCGAATATGTTGGACCAACACAAAACCGCGTGCTGGCTCTCGCAGCCGAACTCGGCCTCCCAACCTATAAGACATATACGACGGGAAATTCAACCTTCTATCGAAACAACACGGTGCACCATTATCAAGATACTTTGGGCGGTATTCCTCCCGTGGGAATAGGCTCCCTTATTGAACTTGCATTCTTCATGAACGACATCAATACCCTAGCGAGCAAGGTCGACCTAGAAGCACCATGGAATACCCCGAATGCCACGGCTCTGGATTCAATGACTCTAGAAACATACGTCAGCTCCCGACTATCCACTGCCGACTCTCGCGTTCTCCTCGATATTGCCATCCCAGCTATACTGTCGACCGAACTGAGAGAACCGTCTCTGCTGTATGCATTGTGGTGTATAGCTGCCGCTGGAGATGAAACGGGGCCTGGGACTATCAACCGTCTCATTGGGGTGGATGGGGGTGCACAGGATAGTCGGGTGAGTGGTGGAACACAGTTACTCGCAACACTTCTCGCCGAGAGACTCGGTTCGCAAAACATCTACCTGAACACGCCCGTGCGCAAAGTCCAGCTCAAAGAATCCCGCTATCTAGTCTCTTCAGATGAAGTCAATATTTCAGCCCGACATGTTGTCGTCGCCATGTCCCCACCTTTAGCAAGCCACATCATATTCGATCCCCTACTACCTGCCGGACGAGATCAGTTAAACCAGCGCATGCCCATGGGGGCACTTGGCAAAGCCATCGCCATCTTCCCGACAGCCTGGTGGCGGGATGAGGGACTCAACGGAGAAGGTGTGAGCGACACCGGGGCAATCCGAGTGACATACGATAACTCGCCGGCGGATGAGTCGTTCGGAGCGATAATGGGGTTCATCGAGGCGGACGAGATGCGCAAGCTGGATACTGCGAGCGAGGAGGAGGTAAAGCGTCAAGTCAAGCAGAGTTTTGCTAATCTCTTTGGTCCGCGCGTTGAAAATGCCACCGATATCCTCGTTCAGAGGTGGGATCTTGAGGAGTTTTCCCGTGGTGGCCCCAGTGCTTTCATGCCGCCGGGAGTTTTGACACAGTATGGGTCTTATTTACGTACTCCTGTTGGGAGGATCCATTTTGCTGGGACAGAGACTTCACTGAGGTGGATTGGGTATATGGATGGGGCTATTAGCTCGGGAGAACGGGTTGCTGGGGAGATACTGAAGACTTGGTGAACGGGGATTTTTCATTAAGGAGCTTTCCCTGGTGGAAGTCGAATTTTATATTTGACACTCTGTTTTGAGACTTGATTGGCTCTGTTAAAGTGCTAGTTACATTCCAACGTCGATTTTAGCAAATGAGCGTCATCTTTAGGACATCTTTTGTCTGAGTTTGAGTTCAAATATAACGATCACGCCTCGATGCAAAGGTTATGGGATATTGACACGCTAGACTTTCATTAGACGGGATTGGACATGGAAAATCAAAAAAGGAGAGCAAGGTGTTTCCCGATTACTCCCATGCATCTCCCCAATCATCGGTCTCCTCATCTTTGGGTTTAGTATCAATCTTCTTATGTGAAACCACATTCCGAGACTTGGCGTTGCTTATCGTCGACCGTGTGGTAACGGTATTGGTAGAAGCGGCCTTGGCTAGGCCCTTTGGCAAAGGATTTTTGGCTTTGGTTTGTGACTTCGCAGCCAGCCAGCCGGCAAAATCGGGTTCGCCGCCATCATCGTAGGGCACCGCTGGGGCTTTTGTCGATGACGGGACGGGAGAACTGGGTTTGGGAGAAGCTACAGCGGCAGTGAATGGATCGTCGTCTTTTTCGTCGTCGTCCATAGCACCCCAAGCATTGAAGACATCATCGCCTTCTTCTTCGGGCTCGTCGTGGACTACCGGGGCTGGGCGATCTGACATTGACCGGTTCATGGACTGAGCTGTGGGACGGAGTGCTTGTTTTCGTGGTTCGAGTGGGGTTGAGGGTGAGGGTGATTGTTGAGCAGGACGAGGAACCGACGCCGAGCGAGCAGTATCGGAATCAACAGGCTTGCTAGCGCTGGCGGTGGGTTCAATCTCGCCGTGAGCAGCTGCGATTTTGTTTGTGAATGAGGAAATAGCCCAGCCGGCCCAGGAGTTATCATTGGGTGTGCCAACACGCGCATCGGGTTTGACTTCTGCAGGTGCGGCGGGGGGGATCACGGTGTCTGGCATCGTGCTGGCATATTTCCGTGTCCGCTGGACATACAAATCAAACGTCTTGTTTGCTTGGTCGCGAATCAATCTTTTCAACTGTAAGTATCGGGCTATCCATTAGTTAGGGACCGAGCGCATTACTCACTTTTCCTTGTCTAAAAGCCCAGGGCAAATGGCAGGTAGGATCCTAACAGCACAATCTTCCTCGCTAAATACATCAATAGTCGCGGACAGAGCCAAAAGTCCTGCATTTCGAGCATGGACAAAGGGGTCTCTGATGGCTCTCGTGAATGCTGCAATCAGCACCTTAGAGCGAGTCTATATGTAATGTCAGCGACATGATCCAACATTAAGGATAAATCACTTACGCCTTGGCTTAGATTCTTAGCAATCCGGCCAAGACAGATTGTAGTGTTTGTACGGATGCCAGGTTGCTCATCATTAGCAGTGCGGGCGAGGAACTTCAAGAGTTCACCATTGACAATCCTATCATTGAGTTTGTTGATGATAGTCAGAACAGCCTTCACTGTCTGTTCTCGAACCACCGGAGCAACATCGGTGAAACCAGAAGTCTATGGCATGTTAGTAAAACGTGCATTACCCAAAATCTTATAGCTTACCATTTGAGGGAAGATCTTATCGTTGACAACCCTCTGGGGAAGGTTATCGATCATTGATGGCAGGATATCCAAGAGGCAGACGCGCAATGCTCGATCGGGATTGCCAAATAAGCGGACAATAACAGGAGTCAACTTGGCGTTGAATTCCTCTGCCGACAGCTTTGCTCCAATCTTCATGGTAGCCACAAGAACTTTAGGCCCACCACCCCCAAACTCGACGGACTTCAGTAGCTCTGGGAGCACCTTCATCTTGAAGAATTCTTCAGGGAAGTCGTCCCCAGAAAGATTATCAAGCTCACTGCAAGTCGTGATATGTCAGCCAAGAAATGATTGTATGCAGCATGTTGAGAATATACGCACTTAATAAATTCTTCACGTTCGGCGTCACTTTTGAGCCCCAAGCTGTCGATATCTTCAGTCATTCGAATGAGTGGTGTCTGGAAGAATCCACCTTGCTTCATTCCCTGGTCCACGAAGTGCCCCGGGCTTAGTCGTAGTTTCGGGTTGGCGGTGCAAAGACGTTTATAGCTTTGCTGCATGCTGGGGGGAATGTTCGTCGTCTTGCCAGCTTGGTCGCTGCCTGAGAAACCCCCATTGAAAACCTCGAAGATCAAGATGCCTAACCCGTAGGCATCAACTGCTGTCAAAGGGTTGCGCTTGATAGTATCCCAGCCTGTTTTGACAACTTCCGGTGGCGTGTATCGACCGGCATCGGGTACACTACTTCCGTACGTCTATGCATAGAGTCAGTATTTGGCATCAACCGGGCACTTGCTAGATAAACCTGAACCAGAATAACTCACATATATAATCGCATCGTCCTCCTTCATAGAGCTCAGGATTTCAAAACCTCCTAGCCTCCATTCGCCGCTCTCGCTTATGAACACCGAGGATGCGCGCACGGCGCCGTGAACTGAGGAAGCATCCTCGTTGATGAATTTGAGAGTAGACTGTCCAAATAAATCCTCGTTAGCAATGCCATGATATCAGACTCTCAAGAATAGCGTACCGCGACAGTATACAACCCCCACTTAGCCGTCTCCTCACTCAAGCTCCTCCGCTTCACCGGCCAGCTGAGTGGCACGACTCGTTCCGTGACAATATAAAGATTGTGCTCCGTCTGTCAAGTCGTAAGCGTCTGCGCCATAATCTCATATTCAGACCAAAGGACCGGGAGCCAAGTATACCTCAATCGTATCCAAAACCTTGATAACACCAGGATGCCGCAAGGTTCTAGACTTGCGCACTGCATTTTTCGCAAGAGGGAGGCGCGACTTATTCGCATTGACATCAAATGCGAAGACACTGCACGCAGAACCGTCATCCTATATGTGCCACGACGTCGTCAGCCATTGAAGCTCGTCCCGCATGGAAGAAGGAACCAAAAAGCCACCGTACCCGTTTCGTACCGTTGTGCAGTGCCCAGACCGAATCACCGATGTCAACTCTGTCACCGAGGGAGAATGGGAGTCCTCCGCCCTTCGCGATGGCAGATCCGATAGCTGACTTCAGGAAATCCATGGCTGTGATGTGACCGATGTAGCAGGTCGGGGTTTATTTGGGGTGTCCGGGGTGCGCGAGTCGGGGCGGCCAATGGCCAAGGGGTCGATATTCAGTCGGCTGTCAGGATTAGATCAATAGGTCGAGATAGTGACTGAAAATGATCGAAGATCTGATACAGTGTGCTTGTAACTCAGATAGCCAGGCAGATCAAACAACAAACTCCTTTCACCCCCGCCTTATCGGAGACCCACCCAAATCATGTGACTGATAGCCCTTATCGTGATAAACAACGTTGCCTGAGGGCATCACGTGCTCATATAAATAAAGCTCCGCTTTGTCTTCCATTTCTTCACCTCCATGCCACTGTCCCACGCGTCTAATTCTGTCGCCAAATGCCACTGGAACTTACAAGACTTATGCTACAGCACTTATCTTCTTCTTCTTCCACACTTACCTATATACCAGTCGACACAACCCTAATGATCAAACAGTAAGTTTTCCAGTCCCTTTCCCATGCATGTACACAAAGTACACCAACCAGCGACGCAAGTCGCCCTCTCCAATGATGCGAACTCTGGTAAAAGGTCAGACCATGACCACAACACCACAAAAGAAGACTCACCCAGCAAAACCGATGGTACTCCCGCAAGTTCCAAAACCCACGCAACACCACAAACCGGCTAGGAGCGAACCTCAAGAGCTACCACCTCGTGCGCACGAACCAACTATCTCTTTCCAGCAGACTACTGTCTGTTGGACCAGCCATGATGGTGCCACACCACCATAGAGCTGTGCCCAGACCACGACGACACCCTCCTCCGATCACGCTCTCGATAACCAACTTCACATAACACCATTCCCCCCACTCTTCCAGCAGAACACTTACGTCTCCCGTCGCATTGCTGGAAAGCAGCATCGAGATCCTAGCCAGCACCCCCATGGCTCGCGGCCACGTCGGACAAAGCGGCGTTGGTCCTGGATCATGGGAGACATTGTGTACATTTACATTTCCGTCCGTCCCGAAGCATGACCGCAGCTGTGGCTTGGCACCGACGCGCTCATTGCCGAGATCTTGCTTTCAATTACTGTAATATCATCGCATATTGCTGTATTGCATTGTTGAGGTCCGCCTTGGGATCATATCCTAGGGTTAGGGTGATAGCGTGTACGGTGTTGGGTCTATAGTGCGAGAAAGTGCGGGAAACGGGGAGGTGGCGCCGCTATCTGGGGTTGCCGTGTCCGCTTCGCTTCCATGAGGACGGGTGGGCGACCAATGGCTGTGGCGTAAAGGGTGCGAGGGTTTGGGGATTAGGGGGAAGAGGGGACTTGGGTGGCTGGATGGCATTCTTATGGTGTTCTTTGCGAGGGCTTGGGGTTGGACGTATTCTTGCTGGCGGCGTTCTGTTGGCTTTGCGGGATACGGACATCTCTATAGTCTTCTCTCTGACTGCCCAGGAATTGTCATTCCTGGCTACTCTTTCTCTCTCTTCTTTCTTTTCTCTTTTTCATCTGCTGTGGAGAGTGGTGTGGGCATGTTGCTGTGGGGGGTTGGAAGTTGGGAGACGGAGAGGTGTGTTAGTTGGGGTGCGGGCTGGATGTGGTTGGTTTTTGTAATGCTTGGTGGGGTTTTGGGGGTTTGTTCTGAGGCTTTTTTATGGCTGGAGTGTGGTCAGAGGAGCTTGCAATGGGATAAAGCACCGCGGTAGGTTGATGTCTGGTGTCTGTGGCTTGGATGATGACACTGTTGAAATTAAACCTGAGGAGACTTTTCCCCCTGTACTTGACTCATTATTCATTTGAAATGAGGTGATTTGCAGCTGCTGACATCTGTAGCAGTTATCTAAAATTCCCGATATTTGGCTTGTATGTTGAATATGGATACGGGTGGTGAAATTGTGGTGTTTTATTTGGCCAAAAGTTATAATATAGTATAGAGAAGCTGTCAGCACATCTTTTTTCCTCCCTTGCTTGCCGTCCAGCTATAAATCCGAGAAGGGGAATAAAATATCTCAAACAGACATGACACGACCGCATGAGCGGCCGACTACACAGAATGATGGAGAAATTTTCATGAGATAACTATTTCATTGCCAGTTGGCCATGGGTCGAGCTATCTGTATTGTCAAGTTCACACATCTTCAACCACGCCTCACTGCTCCGCTTGCTCGCCCAGACCGATCAACTTCGCCCACATCACCATCCGACCAAGCATTGTCTCCATGCCGTAACGCAACCCACCGCAGACCTTACTTCCCTCCATCAAAGGTAGAAAGGCCAGTGAGCCCACCAAGGGGACACACAGCCCTCCAACCAACAACTGAGAAGAAAGCAAGAGAAGAGATAAACGAAAAAAAAAAAGAAACCGGATAAGAGTGAATCAGAAGGAAGAGGCCGTCTCAGGTAAAGAGAAACCCTCAAGACTCCAACTCGACGATGACGTATGTGGAGATGTTGTGCACTAGTAGGCATACGACGATGAGCTAGATCGGATATCAAGTGATCGATTTCAACGTGTTCATCGCCTAGAAATTCGTTTCATGTAAACCACCAGATCGAGATCTGGAAAATAGATAGGCACAACTAGTAGATTGATCTGTCATGTCTGATCACAGGGTTAGCGGATGTTGCTCGGATGTTGCTCGGATGTTGCTCAAGACTACGAAACTGTTCACTCACCGAGCAAGTCTTGAGACCACACGAAGTTCACCGCAGAATTCAAATGTTTTGAGGACCGCGCCGATGACGGGGAAACAGATGAAGATCGGTCATGGAAGAGTAACCGGGGTTCTTGAGTTGGCGGTTGCCAGTAATGCAGAGCGCGGACAAGTCACAGCTAAGCGATAAGATGTAGCATCATTCGAGGGGGCCGCTCACGGCTTCATGATTCGTGTAGTTCATTTTCCTTCATCCGTTGCCTCGGCCGGATGGGAAGCTCCAGGGGTTGTGGCTGGGGTATTGGCAGACATTTGGGGTGGCAATTGAGGCATTTGATTGAAGCCATTGCTGGGTGTCCGATGCTGGTTAGGCGGGAAATGATGCGGTTGATGAGGGCTTGAGGAAAAGTGAGGCTGCTGTGGGTAGTTGCCACGGTTGGGAGGCACTGGGTTGGTTAAAAACTGGAGTTGCTTGATAGGGGACCGTAGCCACACTCACTATGTCCGGACTGCTGGGGATATCCGGGTTGGCCAGGCATAAACATTAGTGATTGAGGAGGCTGTCCGGATTGCGAGTTCTGGTGCATCATCATCGGTGCACCACGGCTCGGGCTTGGGTACCCGCTATGCGGTTGAGGTGTATGTTGGGGGTAGGCGTGGCCCGGGTTCGGGGAGTACATGGGCATCTGTGCGTTATACGGAGTCATGCCCTGCGGGACTCCCATGTAGGGTCCATTTGAGACCTGCTGCACCATCATAGGAGCGCCATTCACAAACTGAGGCCCACCACCCTGGAAAGGTCTCATGTGGCCGGGTTGGGGGCCACCGTAAAACTGAGGGACCGGTTGTGCGAAAGAAAGCTGGGCATGGGAAGCCATAGGGGACGGATATCCATGTTGCATCCGCGGGGACGGGAAAACCTGGGAGTTAGAGGCGGACAACTGCATGCGGTGATGATCATCCACATGGGAGGGGCCATGGGGGCCCTGAGAGTGAAGACCATGGGGTCCATTCGTAGGACCAGAAGATGGCGGCATGGCTGGGTTACCTTGCTGGAAGTGGAAGGGCAGCTGATGCTGCTGGGGAATATTGGTGTTGTGGGAGGCGGACCGACCCTGGGGCGATACTGTCGGCACGCCGACAGGCTGTTTGAACATCTGATCGTACGTCTTATCCTCGCTGCCATCCGCGATGTCCCAAGTTGGCAAAGTCTTGTAGGGTGGTGGAATACCTCCATTCAACACAATCAACCTTTCAGTAGTCTCTGCGTTCTCCTTCTTCATGCGCTTGATGGGATTGAACTGGTCACTGATCGAGGGTCGTTCAGAGACAGGCAGTGGCTTCCTTGGGCCAAAGAACGCAGTTGGCGTTGTGGCGCGTGACACAGAGCGGTTGCGAGAGAAAGGCCGTGGGCTTGCAGCAGCGCCCGAGGAACCGGGCGTAAAAGTGCTCGCTGCGGGGTTTGGCTTGAACTCCATAGCTTTGACATTGAACTTGGTTGCCGCGGAAGACCCAGCCTGTGACTTGACAGGGCTGGTGATTCTCTGCTGGTCGCTGGCAGGACCAGTGGGTGTTCCGCGAGCATCTTGAATGGGAAGAGGAGTAGGGACAGGCCCCATTCCCGCGCCCTTTCGTTGCTGCAGATTGTCCGCTAGACGATGGCTGAGCATGCCAACACCAGGACGTCCGGGCGGAACTACTTGCTGAGGGAATCTCCCACCAGCGAGAGGCCCAGTGGGCGGATAACCCTGACGGGTGCGGTTGTAGTTTTGACGATCAGCTGGTGCAGATGGGGGTACAGATCCACTAGGTCCGGCACGAACAGGTAGCTGTTCTGTAGGAGGTGTAGTGACCTTCGGTATCGCCTTATCATCCCCCTGTTGCAGCCCTCGTTGCATGATTGCTTCCTGCTTTTGCCGGTCCTTGGCCAGGATAGGAACAAGGTCTTTCGGCACCGGAGTCGAGAGTTTGAAACTCTTGGAAAACTTCAGCAGCTCGTTGAGTTTCATGGTTCGGTCATATGAGGCTTGGTTGCGACGGCGCTCCTGCATCTTCATTTTCTCACTATTCGCGAACTGTCGGAAATGATCCAGCACCTCTACCTCCACGTTTGCAGTCGCATTTTCAGGTGCAGGCCGCTTTCCAGCTGATACTGCGGATACAGTAGGTACTGCGGGTATGACACCCTTGCCCGAGGTACTCTTTCGCTCGATATCTGCTGTGGGCTGCAGCGATGCGACCGGCTCAGCTTGCTGGTGTGAAGGTACAACTCCCTTGGCCACGGCCGGAGATGGGATGGGGATAGGGGAAGCAACAGGCTGTTTGGTGGGTGCAGTGGGCGTCGCAGCAGGCTGGGGAGCTGCCTGGCGGCGTCCGGGAGGCATGTACTTGTTTGGCTGACCGGAAAGCAGGGGAGGGAAGGCTTTGTCTTCGCGTCGAACACCACTGTACTTGTCTTCTTCGTCTTGGTCGCCAGTATCCGGTGCTACAAGGCCACGCTCCTCACGCATGTGGGAGTTGTCCACATCTTGTCCCTCGATCTCACGAGCGATCCGGGCTGCCTCCGCTTGCTTCTGTTTGTAATTGGGATCCGAACGGTCGAGGCGAGTGGTGTAGATGTTCTCATCGTAGTTGGTCTTGGTGCCGAAGAGACGCTCGTTTGCCTCGAACTGGTCCCATCCCGCAGAAGTGTTACTTGTTTCGAGTGACATATCAATGTCAGTCTCGGCAGGTTCCCAGCGCTGCAGGGTCCGCTCTCGCATGGCTAAGTTTCCAGAGATATCACTGTCAGTTCTGAAACCCTGGGAAGCACCTGTGGACTAGGTTAGTATATACACAAACTAATCCGATTAAAAAAAGCAACCCGTACCATTTGGTTCCTTGGCTGAAACTTCGGCTGTGGTAACGTTTGGAACGGCAATGTCGGCGATATCCTTGATATCGAACGACATGATGTGCTCGGGCGCGGAGCCGATGTACGGAGTTGCGACATCGCTGACGCCGTTTGCCCGGGGCTGGCCCTCTTGCGAGGTTCGCTGGACCATCTTGAGCAGGAACGAAAGTTCGGTAGGCTCCATGGTCGACGAAGAGAAGATACCGGTAAACTTGTCTCCGGACTTGGTGGTAATGGTGGTGTGTAGACCCTTAGGTAGCAGGTTAGAATTGATCAACGGGTATGGTGGCGCGACTGGGCTTACAATGAAGCTGGCGAATAAGAAAACCAGGCGGTCATGGGCATGGCTATCAGGAGTGTTTGACTCCTTCTGGTTGGGTCTCGGGGACCCAGACTGTTTCTGGTGGGTCATGTTGCCGTTCGATGAAGTGTATGAGGATCGTTGAGTGATGGGGTTGGTCCCTTGGGTCCAGGCCTTGTGGGAGTTTGTGCGCCTATGCAGTAGAACATGCTTGCGTTAGTGGCCACTGGTCACGAAGCAGAGAACGACAAAACAATTCTGCCATCGAATCCGACAGCTTCAATTGGCTCTTGCTGGCGCACAACTCGAAGCAAGCATGCAACAGAGCTCACCAGCTCAATCGCCAGCCGGACAAGGGAAGGGTAGGATAATAACAAAGGGGAGTTTCCCAAGTCCGAGAGGATATGGAATTACACGAGGATTTGATTTGACATTTGTGTAGAAGGAAGGGCTGATCATACCGTTGTCCGCCATCGACGGGGCTGCCTGACTGTCGTCGGTTGTCAGACCCCTTCGTGCTGTTACTGGATCTCAGGGTAGATCGACCGGTGCTAGGGGCACCCGCGCTGGCGTTGCCAG